TTCAGTGTAGACGATCTCACGAAAGAAGGTTTCTGGGAAGAAGAAACACAAGCCTCAGATGATTTCAGGGAAGAAAGAACACGAGCCTCAGACATCATCAACAGGGTTATATTGCGGCACAAGGCAAAAAGGGTGGATACTTTAACACTCTCTTACGTCAACTGCAACGAGTATCAACTGGACACGTTAATTACAACTGCCATCGACCGTAGCATCCGGAATCTTTATCTTGAACATAGTTTGGATACATTTCCTCGATACCTCTTCAACTGCAAAACCATTGTCGACTTAAAGCTTTATAACTATGGAGTGTCACTCTCTGCTGTGGACAATGTCTCTCTGCCTAGCCTCAAGAAATTTTATGTTTCTAATCTTGTGTGTGAGAATGATGATGCACTTCCTCGCTTTCTTTCGGGTTGTCCGTCGCTCGAGGAGTTGAATATGGCAATTCACTTTGGATATGATTATGTGGGCTGCATAAATATAACATCACCCACAATAAAGACGCTTAAGCTCGATATTGACTATATCTTTCGTCCATCTAACCTTGAATATAGGATGATAATAAATGCCCCGGCAATTACGTATCTCCAAGTGTATGGCTATGATTTTGCTTTGGAATGGATAACAATTCCTACAACCATGAACTCCTTAGTTGAGGCGGATATCCACCTCAAACATTATTGGTTCTTCCTCTTTCATGTCAAAACGTATTACAATTCCATGGAGGTGGACTTTCTTCATTCTCTGTGTTATGTGAAGTGCCTAACAATATCAGGTTGGAGACTCGGGGAGGTATGTTTTGAATCTTCAATCTCTTAGGCCTCCTGTCAACTAGTTTTCAGCTTTGTGGTTTTCTATATTCGTAATGTGGTGTTAATTTTTCCAGCTTGTTCATAGAGGACTTGCTTGTTCAACTGTAAAGTTTGATAATTTAACCAAACTTGAAGTTGAACTCCAGTTGAACTTCAAATGGAGTTTGCTTGTAAAGTTCCTTCAAATTGCTGACAATCTTGAAGCCCTTATTGTAAGTGGAGTTTATCGTTGATGCAATTAAATTTGTCTTTAGCTGTTTCTCTGTTTTCTTACAGCAATAGCTCCTCTTGTTTTACTCATTTTGTTATGCTCCTTTTAGTGTGATCAGGTTGAACTTGAGAAGGGATATTTGGGTCGGGAGCCCAAACATGTGCCTGAATGCCTATTATCATGTCTAAGAACTATAACAATTAAGTCGATGCGGTTCAAAGAGCATGAATTTGACATGGTAAGATATCTTTTGAGGAATTCTCGAGTATTGGAGAGGATGGATCTATTTACATGTGAATGTATTGATGGGGAAAGGAAATTCGAAGCGCTTAAGAGAATTTCATTGTTTGATCGAGGATCCGACGCATGTCAGCTTGCCTTCCATTAAGACTGTTGAGTGATTGGACTGAGATCTTATTCATCGGCTGAATGTTCCTCGAATTTCATCGTTTGAGTTTGTTGAGTGATTCGATTGAGATTTGGTATGTAGTAAGTACTGATTTAATGTGCCTCAAGTTTTGTAGTAACTATTTCGACTTGCTTCTGTTTCGTGCAATTGTGAGATGTAATGTTCCTCAAGTTCTATAGTAACTCCCTAGTGTCATGTTCAGTGTTGCTCAATTTTTACTGTTTTAGGCTAGCTTGTTGCAGTAGTAGGCTAGCTTTACCGGAAAGTACCCAGAAAAATTGATTGAAAAATTCTCAATTAATTGTCTTGAGTTTTCATATTAATGGCATGTGTTTAAGCTTCAATATATATGGCAAGATAAAAATATTTTGAGATCACTCCTAATAATCATTCTCTTTATTTTTAAATAATCAGCTATTCGATTGTATGTTTCCTTAAAAATAATAGCAAAATAAGAAAACTTGACATGGCAAAAAATTTAAATAAAATAAATACTGAATATTAAAACAAAATAAAATACATATTTTATAAAAAAATAGCATAAATTTGTATCTTATTTATATTAATTTTACCAACACGTCTAGCCTACGGGTTAGCCTAACGAGTAACGAGTTCAAACTAACAGTTGAAACTAAATAAATTTCATCCTGAGAAAAAAAAAATCCCTTTTACATATGTAATAGATTTTTTTTATTATTTTTAATATAAAAAAAACATTCAAAATTAAATAGTAAACTATTTAAAATTAAACCTTTCATAAATCATTCATAAATAACTAATAAAGTAGAAAATAATTTTTGGAAAGAAGTGATAAAAATAAATCACAAACAAACCATTATAGTGAGAGTTATTGACTTATTGTCGATCATAAATAGAAACTTTTTAAATATATAATTATTCCATTAATATATTACAATTAAAAAAATATACAATAAAACATATGATTTTTTTCAAGTGAATTACATAATTTAGAGGAAATTGCACCCCCTACTTGAGTATTGTAATTATATTATAATTATACTCCCATTATATAAATATTTATATAATTACCTAAGAGATAAAAAGATATTATATTCATACCTAAAAAAACCGTTACCTGTGTGATGAAACAGTTTCCATATTTTTAGGAGGCACAATCTCAGGATTTTAATATGGAAAAGATTCGTTGAACACACCGCGGAAAGAGAGAATGGGAAACAGACGGGCGATGAGATTCTTCGTCTCCCTCCCTCTCCGTTTCAAATGTTTTTGTTGTTTTCTTCGAAGTCAATATTCTGGGAATTGAGGTCCCCGAACTCTTCCGCCGCCGCTACTGCCATTGAGGTTGTCCGCTGAAATTCGCGCGGCTAAGAGCCGCTGCCGCTGGGCGGCTGTTATTAAAAAAAAAATTGAGATTGAAGCCGTGAAGCCGCTGCCGGAGATTGAAGCCGCTACCGATGCGGGAGATTGGGAGGGTGTTGACGCCGGGAGGTGGAAGAGAGGAGAATTCGGATCTTAGGACGGAGAGGGAGT